CTCCCCTCACTCCCCGCTTCCTCCTCCCCTTACCTGGTGTGCCAGGCTGTCAGTGTCATCCACGTGGCCAATCAGGATGTGCGTCAGCTCCTGCTGCTGACTCAGCAGTCCCGCGTACAGCTGGAGCATGCTGGCCCGCGTGGCAGCGTCAGGGTTGATGGTTGACGTCACCAGAGCCAAGCTGACGTCCTGGTGGTTATCCACCAGGTCTGGCGAGCCCAGCACCCTCAGCAGATGCGCTGCTACCACCGGTCGCAGCTGGGGAGGAAAACACGAATGAACAAGGGAAGTTAGAACAGGACAGGGGAAGAGGACGGGAATGGGGGAGAAGGGGGAATGAGACATGGAGTGAGTCACCAGTGCCAAGCTGACGTCCTGGTGGTTATCCACCAAGTCTGGTGAACCGAGCACCCTCAGCAGGTGTGTTGCTACCACTGGACGCAGCTGGGGAAAACAGGAATTCGGAGGGCAGGAGTGAGACGAGGGAAAGAAATCGAAGGGCAGGAATGAGGGGAGGGAAAGAATGTGAAGGGCAGGAATGAGGATGGGAGGAGAGGGGATGAGCGAGGACGAGGGAACAGGACAGGGGAACGACAATGGGAATGGGGAGAATGAGACATGACGAGAGTCACAAAGAGCACCCTCCTTGACACCTGCAGGTGGAAAACCAGGGAGCTCATATCCTCACCTCGAAGTTGGAGAGCGAGTATCCTTTGGGTGACAGCCAGAGCGCCATGAGCGCAGCGTCAGCCTGCACGACGGCCTCCTCCACACCCGATTCCTGCCTGAGCCGCTCCAGCGTGCCCATCACCCCGGGCGTCAACACCTACAGTATCAGACAACCCATACCCGTACCTCGGGGTTGGAGAGCGAGTATCCTTTGGGTGACAGCCAGAGCGCCATGAGCGCGGCGTCAGCCTGCACCACGGCCTCCTCCACGCCCGACTCCTGCCTGAGCCGCTCCAGCGCGCCCATCACCCCGGGCACGTGCTGCACGATCAGATCCGCTGCGCCGTTCGTGGCCATCACCAGCAGCGCCTTGCACGCCTGCATGTGGATCAAGGACTCTGTCACGTCGCCCTCGTTGCTGCTGCCCTCGCTGCCGCCGCCCTCCTGCTCCTCTACCGCTGCTGCTGTAGCCGCCTCTGCCCCTGCTACTTTAGCTGCCTCTGCGTCTGCAGCAGCTGTGCCGTTTGGCAAGGCGGGTTCCGTGGCCTCTGTCTCACGCTCCCCTACCCCATTCTCAGCGACATTCTGAGCAGCACCAGTAGCAGCAGTGGCATCGGCTTCATTCCCACCAGCATCCTTATCACCCGACCCATCAGCACCCTTCACACCACCAGCAACCGAGGCCTTAACCGGAGTGATTAGATCAATCAGCCGCTCCAGCAGGCGCTTGGGAACGGCGGCGGATTGGTTCATGGGCCACGTGGAGGGGTGCAGCACCTCGGAAACCGCCCTGCAGACCTGGAAGTAGAGCAGGCGGTTGGAGACGCGCGGGAGCAGCAGCGCGGGCTGCAGGCACTGGAAGATCTCCTGCGCGCGCGTGCTGCACACGATGGTGCTGCGCGGGTTGTTCATTAAGTCCGCCAGACAGCTCGCCATGCACACCAGCAGCGCCTCGCTCACTGCCTCCCCCGCCGCCGCCTCCCCCGTTCCCCCCGTTCCCCCTGTTTCTCCCCCGGCTGCTGCTGCTGCTGCGGCAGTGTCTGCTTCGCCGGCGTTGGCTTGTGAGCTGCTCTTCCGCCTCTTGCTGTCGCTCGCTCCCTTGCACCGCTCTATCGAGGAGGAGAGGAGAGGGGAGGGGAGGGGAAGGGAGGGGAGGGGAGGGGAGGGGAGGGGAGGGGAGGGGAGGAGGAGGAGAGCGTGGAAGGAAGAGGAGGGGACGAGGAAAAAAGGGCGGGGGAGCAAGACGGAGACGGGGAGGGGTCGGGGGGATAGTGGGGGGACAGGAAGGGATAGAGAGGGAAACAAAAGTAAAGTAAGTTGAATCGCCTCATAACACATACCACGCTGTCGTTTTCAACATTGCAGCATGTGGAGGAGTTATGACAGCGACATCACTGATTATTCACTGAGCACACCGCAGTACGTAGTGAACCACCCATCGGTCCAACAGTTCTGCATCAGCCGCAGCATTCACACAGCCGCATCAATCACTCACTCAGCACGCTGCAGCACGTAGTGACCCATCGGTCCACGTGCATGAGGTGCGGGTTCTTCTTGTCGTTCGCTGCCGTCATCGCCAGCAGCTGCGCCGCCGCCTCCGCCAGTGCCTGGTCCTCCGCCCCTTTCGCCACCACCAGGGCCATTAGCTGCGGAGGAGGAGGGGCGGGGGGGAGCGGAGGGGGGAGGGCGGGAAAGAGGGGGGGGGAAGGGTAAATCGGGGGGGGGATAAGAGGCGGCGCGGAGGAGGGGGGAAATGGAGGAGGGTGTGGGGGAGGGAAGGCGGGAAAAGCGGTAAGTTCTTGTGCCTAACCAAAATTGCCTGATATTTTCCTGCTTACGTCCGCTTCTTTAGCAAATTTCTTTCCGTTTTACTTTAGTTAGGTGCTGCAGTTCAATTACGGCTATTAGGCACACATTCGCACATGTTCGACGACTCCCTCGTGCGATGTTGCGAAGGAGCCAAAAGTCGCAGCATTTCAACAACCGAACAGGTACGGCGAGGTTCGAGGTTTCGAAAGTCGCTGAACCTGAGCATTTCACAGAACAATCAGGCTCTCATTCATACCTGTTCGGCCGCTTCCTTCTGTGATGCTGTAATGGAGTCAGGCCCTTGCTCTACGGCTAGTTCCGCCAATGCGTGTGCGATCTGAGCAATGACGGAAGATTATTGTCAGTCATGAGACTGTAAGTGATTCGAATACACCAGAGAAACTCGAATGCTGCGTAACCAGACGCGAAACGTAACACGCGCAATGGAGAAAACAATGAAGAAAGCATCTGGAACTCGTAAGAGGCCACAGCCCGGAACGTAAGAACGAGTTGCGAACCTTCGGATGATCTTTCGCACGAGATAACGGGTGATCTGTTTGCGTGAATCCCAAACACGCGACGACATCTTCCATTGGTATCGACATGTTCGCACGCGTCGCACGCTTCGCTAACGACGCCCAATCGTTCTTGCTTAGACAAACGCTACTGTAACAACTAGGCCCGATCTCTAAGGCTGAGAAATTGAGCTGCTGGTGCTGGAGAATAATCAGTTAGTGACCTACTGACCGTAAACGGAATCAGGAATGCGTGATGCTGCAACAAAAATGTATTTGGAAAGGAGCCCCAACGTTTCTAGAGCCAGGTAAGGCAATCAAGACCAGCAGCTGCGTAAGAACCGCGGCTGCGCAACTATTTGCGTGAAAAGTGAAGACTCGAGTGAGTGGTAACATTCATCTCAAGACTTGTTTTCTGCGCCTTGAATCCTTGACTTCGCAGCCATGCCACAAGCAAATGAATGGTTACTAAGCGTGGAGGGGACGAACGAACCAAAACCAAGGGGAGGGATAGGGTTGTTGAAACGCGGGAATCGGGGGAGATTTCGATGTGAGATGGATGGCTGGAAGTGGGCCATCGGTGTATGTGCGTATCGCAATCAATGGACCACGATCGCCACTTCGAGGGAGATTCGAGAGGTCGAACGGACAAGTGTGGGGCGGGGGAAGAGTCGATGGGCGCCACCTGGAAAGTAGCTAGCGGGCAGAAATGGAACCTCAGCCAACACCTCAGCTCCCTGTCAGGTCTACAGTGTTCCATCGATCTGTCGCTTGGGCACCTAAGGGCGTGTCCAGCGCGTACGTTTGCGGTTCGTTTACATTTCATCACCCATGGTGAAAAACGATAACGGTTCAAACCGATTTGCAGTTTCCAGCGTGACGCAACAAGGTCAACCGCACAGGATGAACTGAAAACGTACGCGCTGGGCCCTAAGAACTTCCAAAACAGTCTCGCTTTTAGCGGGGCGGGAAGGGCAGGCCTTATCAGTGGAGTTGTTGAGCTGATATGGATCCCACAAATCAGAACTCCCTCAGTGAACAAGCAGCTGGCAGCAGTCAAGCAGGATGAACGATACGGATGGAGCCACGCAAGCATTTGTTCTCAAGTGTCGCCTGGGACCATCACGTACAGTACACTTGGTTGTGACAACAATATGCCAGCTGTCCGTACACGGGATCTGCTGTGACATGACCTCACCTCTCCTCACCCCACCCCACCTCACCACCTCCCAATAAGGGCATGCGACAACGGGGGACGGTGGAGACTGATGCTGAATCCACTCATGCTGCCACCTGCCTGTATCTCTCGATACCCGATATGCAGTTACCGGTACGGTACGGTACTTTAGAGCGTAGAAGCACTGCCTAGGAACGGGCTATGCAATGACTTCTCGTAGTGCAAGATGTTTGGCTGGATCAGTGAGCATAATGCCCTGTCCTTTCTCCTTTCTGTCTCAGCCATGATGTCACATTATGATGATGATGCAACACTGATGGACCTATCGTGATGGGCAGCACCACCTCTAGTTGGGAAGACAAACCAAACCACATGTCATGCATTACACACCACAGCATTGCAACATTATGGCAGGCTTGTTTGCCAACATGGAAATTTTGCTTTTACACGATTGCAACAATCCTCACCGCATGGTCTCTCCATCCGACCATATCGTTGCAATGTCTAGGGAGCTATTATGACGGTTCCAACAAAACAAACCACCAAACCATTCGTCTGAAGGCACTAAGGCAAATTCTTACACTAGCATCTTTACTGCCTCGTGCCTTATTTACATACTATCTACAGCTACCCACGAGTTTTGCACCCTTCACAAGCTCTTGTGCTTCTGCATCCTCCGACCTCATGTGCGTGCAGCACCTTCTGGTTTCACATTCCCACTCACAATCTCAAAACCTTGGCATAGCAGAGCCACACATCCAGCACCCAAGGCAGAACTCATGCCCTTTCCAAAAACATTCCCATGGCAGCAGTAGTATCCAAGGCCTCTGCTATGATACACCAGAGGGAGGAATAAAGACCACGGCAGATGGGGACGGGGCCACCGGAACAGATTCAAGAACGCGGCCATCTACCCCGGGAGGAGTCGCAGCTTCTCTCAACCACAATGACCACAGTCGAACCCACACTGAGGGTAAGCCTCCCCCAGCGGTTGCTGCTGAAACGGACTGCTGCTCAATTGGAACCGAATTCGCACTCTGTGGCACAGAATTTGCCGAAGTCTCCCCCTCTGCTACCCCCCTACCTGCTCCTGCCACCGCTTGCTGCCCTAACTCCTCTCTGTCGGCTTCCAGACCCGCTAAACCTCCCCCCGTGCTGCTCTCCCCTTGCTCTCCCCTCTCGATTTGTTGTCCCCTATCTCCCGCTATCCCGCCTCCTTCTGAATCTCCTTCCTTGACTTCAGCACTTGGACCGATGTGTCGGCGGCATATCGGGCAGGTCGTTTTTCCTTGGAGCCACGTGTCAATGCAGTCCACGTGGAACACGTGCCCGCACGGGGGGAGCAGTTTCAGCATGTCCCCGGAAACATACTCCGCCAAGCACACCGCGCACTCGCGAAATCCCTCTCCTTCCCCCCAGTTCGGTACCGCCTTCCCGCCCTCCAAATCCCCTCTTCCTTCCTCTCCCGGTAACTTCAAACCGCCGTACTCCACGAATTTATCGCTCTCCGCCGTTTCCGGGGAGAACATGAACGTGGGGAAGGAATCAACGAGCGCGTCTTCCAGTCCCCGCGTTCCCGGCCTTCCGCGTGAGGCGCCGCCATTTTCGAGCGCCAGATTCGCCCGGCGACGGCGGGAAAAGGCTCGGTTTCGCACGAACGAGAAACAGAAGCTGACGGAGACGAGGACGAGGAGGAGTGCTGAGACGGTGACGATGATGCTCGTCGATGACGCGTCGAGGCCATAGTTCCGGGTGATGTTGGCAGAAGCAGACGACATTGTCAGTGATAATCCAGGCGAAATCTCGTTAACGGAATGATTCTTTATGTAAGAACGTCGAGAGATGAATCCCCGCTGTCCAAGAATTAGCCAGGCGTTAGTCACGCGTCGCAGAGAGAAATGGCGAGATTCAATGAAATCTATGTGAAAACTGCAGAGCGGGGCATACAGAAAGCTTGCGCTAAGGACTGAAGTACGTGGGAAAAATAAAGTTACAGAAACGACGTAGCGAAATACCCAGGCTACAGCGTCAAGGGAGCGGTTGAGCGGCTGGTGTCGTGTGTGGGGCCTGTGTGGGCCGCGCAATACCGCTTTGGAACGCAACCCATCGCACAGAACTGACGTGGTTTGAAGACGAACACCTAGTTTTGTTGTGACTCGTTGCTGGCTGGTAGAGCTGTCAGGCCTAGATAGATGAGCATGCATATCGTATCATGGTTGATCTGTGCATTGCGTTACACAACTCAGAAGTACAGTACGACAGTTTCCAGCTTGCTGGGTTGACTATGAAGTAGAAACCTATTACAGATTACGAGCAACTAGCAACAAGATGTTGCCCACTACGTAGCACTCTGGGCACTTCGTAAAGCTGCTCCCCAGAAACGTTTTCTCATTCTCTTAAATGTACATCAGCCACGACCCAACCTTGGCATAAATGAAGAGGCTGCATTGGCTGCTACTTCGCAGATTGGCGACACTATTTCCTGATAGATACTCTTGGCTGGCTGCAGATACACCTCCTTCGTGAAAACAATTTATCCGTTGGTCATAACCGCAGGTTCTCCCACTCAGCTTCCTTGAATAAAAGAAAATCACCATCTTGTGTTGAGTCAGGGTCTCAAATTTCTATCAGCATCCTGCTCCAAGGGTTCGCCGGAGCCCGCAGTTTGGGAAGAGTGAACTAACGGAGTAGATGTGGACGAAATCCGCTCGAGCGAAATTGTGTGAGAAACTGGGGGATTGCTTTCTTCCACGCTTCTGGACGTTTCGTCACGACAACTACCGTTGTCACACAAAGCTGGGTTGCAACACTGTCCATTGCTGTCGCAAAGTTGATTGATGGCGATCACGACATCTGCTTCCCCGTGTTCGCCATCCGTCGCGGACTTCGACCCGCTGTCGACCGATGGCTTGGGTCTGAGATTCGCCCGGCACACTGGACAAGTTCTCTTCCCTTCCAGCCACATGTCGATACACGATTCGTGGAACCTGTGACCGCAAACCGGAAGAGACTTGATTTCGTCGCCTGGTTCGTAGTCTTGTAAGCAGATGCAGCACTGACGGAAACTGACACAGTCGCTCTCCTTGGCTTGCTCAGCTGCGAAAACGAAGGTCGGAAAGCTCTTGACGAGGTCTTTATCCAAGCCGAAAAGTCTCCGCCGCTGGTTATTCCTGTCGTCCTCCTGTTCTGGTTCAGGAGCAATGAACCAGCGAGCGAAAACGAGGCACAGGAAAAGACCGACGAAGGCAAGAAACGCGGCGGTGATCGAGGCGATAAAGGCGCCTGGGGGAAGATCTGACGAGCTGGAATTGGAATCGAGAACAGGGGGAGGGGGTGACATTGTTGCCATGGGGTGCAACCAATTCCTCCCACAACTAGCAGATATCTTGTGTATTAACGACTTGGTCTAGAATCACGTGCCGGCACAACCTGACTAATGCCAACAGGCATTTACCTCTGAAACGAAAATTTGGATCGCGTGGAACAAAGAACTAAACCGTATTCAACGGAAAGCTAAAAAAAAAAAAGCGAAGTTGAAAGGCGCTTCGAACGTCGGATATCGCAGATGGCTTGAAGCGGAGAAATCGAAGGCTGAACAAGAAAGGACGGTTCACAGCTTTTTGAAAAGGCTAGAGAACAGACAGCGAAGTGCAAACAGAACAGGAAGAGAAGAACTGGAGCATAAACGAAGTGGGAGGGAGGAGAGAGAGGAAGGGAAGAGAGAGAGTTTGGTTCTCCTCTCTGCAAGAAACTGGCGATCATGCTGACCAGGCAGGCAATCGTGGAAGCCTCATCTCGTGGACCGAGCAGTGCAGGAGCTGGAGCAGATGGCTGACTGAAATGTCAAACTCCTCCGTGGTTGGTTGGTTGCACGCACGCAACTCCCGGTTTTTATTCTAAGGGAGAGTACATGCCAGGTCCTTAGTTTCAAAAATATCTAAAATTTATGGAAAAGTCCAAAAATTTAGGTACTTGCCCAAAAAGTCCAACTTTGTGGAATTTTGTTCATGCGAGGCCCAGATCATGTTCAAAACTGGTCCTGCGAGGCCAAAATTCGACACGTGTCTATTTCGCACCAATATTTTATCAACAGGGTAAGCCAATCATAATACTCCTAGGGTGACGGGGCACATTTCGGGAGGGATCAACCCTAAACACCGGGCGGGTTCCCGTGTTTAGGGTTGATCCCTCCCTAAAAGTGTCCTGGTTTCACTAGGGGTATTATGTTTTTTTGCCCCGTCGAGAAATTCTTGGTGCGAAATGGACACGTTTCGAGAGTTAAGCCCCGCAGGATGTGTTTTGAACATAATTTGGGCCTCGCGTGAGCGAAATTCCACAAACTTGGACTGTTCGAGTGAGCTTAGATTTAATTTTGAGAGAGTTCTGAACATATGGAGCTAACACGTATTCTCCCTTATTCTAACGAAGGTGATGTTGGATGAAAGGTTGGGCTTGCGAATGTTGGATATCCCGTTTCCCCACAGCTCCCTCCTGCCCTCGGACAAAAGCTGTTTTGTACATGTACTTTTCGTTTGCCCGGTTTCCACGAACAGCAAACGTAATGCACTGGTAGCAAAACTGCTGGTTAGTCCCAACTGGGAATGCGTGAGTGGGCTATGATATGGAAGCCTGTCTGCTGAAAACATGGTGATTTATGGGGATAGGAGTTGTTTTACCGGGGTCTCCGCACATGATAGTTTTCTGGCCTGTGGAATTTGACGTTCCACTGGTGGACACCCAAACTCAAACGCCGTGGAAAATCACCCGCCGCAAGTTTCCAAAAGATCTCACATGAAGGACCCCAAACCAAACCCTGACCACATCGATAGGTTTGATTCGAGCACACCTGAGGCCTTCGGTTCGGTTAGGGCTCAATCACCTCGCCCAGGCATAAGCTAGAGCTGATGGTGAGGTGATGTGGAGAGAGGCTTTGCTTTCTCATTGGTGTGACGTCTGGCGCGGCAGGCCAACCACTGGGTATTGGCCAATGGTGGTGTGGTTGTGCTCCTCCCCACATGTGAACCTCCGCAATCATCAAATGACAGCGCACAGGCCACAGAGGTTACTGCATCTAGGAAATCGCAATCATTTCCACGGTCGTCCCCGTTGTTGGCCCATAACGAACAGAGGGGAACACCTCACAGATAGAGGAGTATTAAAAACAGGGACATAACACACACTAACTTAGCACCACCAACACATATCATGATAACATGAAGTTTGCTATTATTCCAAATCCATGTTAAAAAAAATATTCTATCATATTTAGAATTTTAATTCATATATGCCTAAATAATTATTATTATATAAGGTATGTACGGAAGTTGCTAATTTACTGCAATATGTTATGCATGAAACTCTACTAAAAACAGCAGCACTATGAACTACTCTACGAGATATCAATAGAGCTTTGCAATGCAGCGGACGCAACTGTTTCCGACCGTTGGAGTTTCCTTCACTGATCAGTCCATCTATCCAAAACCACGCGACACTTTCAGTTCTCGTGAAGCCTTCGTGCAGCCCCTGCGACAAATTCGCAGCACACCACGACCGTCATGAACAGTGACGAAGGTCCGTCTATCGTTCGTAACCCGTTAGACTCACACAGCATACCACGGCAGGGTTTAGGGTCAAAGCAGCATAACAGCAGACCTAGACCAGCCACACAGCAGCACAGCAGCACGCATACACCGTCCCACGTGGTTGCTCAGGCACTTGTAGGTTAGGAAGCTTCGAATCGGTAGTATGGGGTGATGGCTGCTGCTGGCTGGTTGCTCGCCGAGCCGCGGCCGTGTGCCTCTTGGCATTCCGGGGTTTTCCACGCTCCGGCTTGCTAGGATAGTAGAGGGTGGGCGAAACAGTTGCCACGGCAGCCAAGAGTCAGGTGACGCAATGACGGCTGCCCTTGTACGCGATATAAGCGGACAGCATCCTACTCGTCAGGAGCATTCGCGGGGAACTTCGCACGTTTTTTTTTGTTTCCAATCGTGGAACCGTACGGATCGGTCCGCACGAGGCCGAGTAACCACCACCCAACGGCTGATTAACATGGCGAGATGGCGTTCCCTAAGTCAAGGCACTCGTTTCCTCTCCTCGCTCCCATTGGTCGAAAAGAAGTCGTGGGAATAGTTCCTTCCGAAGCATGCTCAGTCGGCGGCAGCAGCAGCGCCACCGACGGCGCTTCCGTTGCTACTCATTTTCGATGGATCCAATTTCAATGCGACAACGCTGCAAAGCCAACGCAACGAGTTCCAATTCTCCGTGCCCGTTCCCCTTCTCTCTCCTTCCTTATCACTCCCTCAGTCCGCCTCTCCATCTCCCAAACCCCGACCTCGCTCCTCCTAGCATCCGGCAACCAAGCTGCTTCGCCTTCTCTCACAGCTCCTCCACCTCCTCTTCCTCCTCCCCCTCCTCCCCCTCCTCCTCCTGATCTGACGGCCATCGCAACCCTCCGCCGATGTCACACATACCTTCCCCTCTTAGTTGCCGCACCAGCATAAATGCTCTGATCGGTTCTTAGGCCTTCCCATCTTCCAGCTTCCAGCCAAGCCTGGTGCAGCTCTTCTATTTGAATCCAACGTAAAGGAAACCTGACTTCAAAATTTTCCACCCAGTCCCCAAGACATTTGACGCAGTGCCTATTTCGAGTAGAGTCTTTCAACCGCAGATCACGGCTTGCCACTGCTGTCCCAGCTCTGAGAAAACCGGCCAAGTCCAGTCAATTCACTCTCCAATACCATGGGCTGCTTCGGGTTCAGCTCGAGGGACGCCTCTCCCGAACGGGACGGCCCTGATTCTCTTCACCCCACCCGCGTGAGCATATCAACGGGCGCAGCAGCCACATGCAAATCCCCGAAGCCGCTTGGAAGCTTCCTCTCCCGCTCCGAGTCCGCGCCCATGTCCAAGGTGCGCTCGCGCGCTCTTTCCGCCTCAACCAGCCCGCGGTCCGCGCCGTCCACTCCGCCAGCGTATCCCTCGAAAGACGCCGCCGCAGCTGCCGCCGCGTTTGGCGGGAAGCCGCAGCTGCTGCCAAGCCCTAAGGGATCCTCCCCTGCCGCGTCCACTAAGGCGGCTTCTGGCAGCTCTAGCAGCTCTAGCAGCTGTAGCAGCGCTAGCAGTGCGTCGCAGAGCCCTCGCAGCCGGAAAAAAGCGTCGTCAGCGACGTCCCGGCGATCGTCCAGCTGGCTCCGCCCTGCCACGTCAGGAGGGTCGAGCTCCACGTGTAGCCCTGCCAGCTCATCCAGCATCGCATCCTCGCCGTCAGCCTCGACTGAGATCAACGGAGGAGCAGCAGAGTCAACGGATCGCCAGATCGTGAAGAGTAAAAGCGCAGCGGGAGCCGAACCGATCCGTAAAGTCACACCCGTTACAGTCGACCCCGCTTTAAGTCCTCCTAACCTGCTGGAGAAGTCGAAGTCGTTACCAGAACTCGCAAATTCGCCAATCATGTCCGGCATGCACCACCACGCTAGCGTCTTGATGCCCATCTGCGAACCGTCAAGCGAAATTTCGCCGCGCTCCAATTCGCACAACCAGTTTTCGTCAACGCCATGCCAGGTCCGCGAGCCGTTACCTGGTTACCAGCCCACACAGGACGGTCTACCCGAACGGACGATGGCCGGCCCGATTCCCTTCACATTCGCGCAAGTGGAAGAAATGACAAGAAATTTCGACATTGAGGGATTTCTCGGCGAGGGTGGGTTCGGATCGGTTTTCAAAGGTTACCTTCCCACACGGAGCGGCCGGCGAATCCCGGTCGCCGTAAAGATGCTTGACACGTGCGGGCATCAGGGGGAGCGGGAGTGGTTGACGGAGGTCAGCTTTCTCGGGCTCCTGGAACACCCGAATCTGGTTTGTCTAATTGGATACTGCGCCGAGGAGGATCAACGGCTGCTAGTGTACGAGTTCCTTCCCCGCGGTTCGCTCGAGTTTTTGCTTTTCGGGGAGGATGCGCTGGCAAATCCGCTGACGTGGCACCAACGGTTGAAGATCGCGTTCGGCGCGGCGGAGGGGTTGGCTTATCTGCATGAGGAGGCGGAGCATCAGGTCATTTATCGCGATTTCAAGACGTCGAATATTCTATTAACGAATGATCTTGAAGTGAAGTTATCGGATTTCGGGATGGCGAGGGAAGGGCCCGACGGGGAGAAGACTCACGTGTCGACGCGAGTGGTGGGCACTGTGGGGTATGCGGCGCCCGAGTACGTGCTAACGGGGCACCTTACAACGAAGAGTGACGTCTACGGGTTCGGCGTGGTGCTACTGGAGCTGATGACGGGAAGGCTGGCGCTGGACAAAGAAAGGTACTTCCAAATCCTATTTCCCAGTTCAATAACCCTTTGCAGAGTT